GTTTCAGATGATTAAGTATCTAATGCAAGGGGTGACAGACAAAAATCAATCGCTGAAGTCGCGAGTACTAGTAATAGATTTTCGACCTTAATCTAAAAAATATTAAGTCAAAAATATGTTAAAATACTCTCAGCGATCGACATTTTATTTTGTTCCTAACATTGTCAGCACTACCAAAGTACTACCCCTTATAGGGGTAAGTTTAAAAACTTTACGAAAATCTCATTTCAATGAAATGGTGTCTAAATGAAGTCGGTTAAAAAGTAGGCCAAGTGCGAATCAGACTCGCGCAGGAACGGCCACCGATGTTTATAAAAACAGTTTATTGACAGATGAACAGACAGTGGAGTCTTAGTGATAGGGTTCTGTCTCACCCCTTTTTAAATCATTATAGATGCGTGGCGCATTTGTATGAGAGAGTATGCATTTTACACGTGTCTTACAATATTAGTATTTTGTAGTGATAAACACCAAATTATATACATATGCTGCTTTATTTTAACTGATGTTTTCATTATTCATTCAGAATTCTTAAAGACATGAAAAGGTATTATTAATACTGTTCAGTACTTCGCGCGTTGTGACAAGTCGTATTTTATTGTAATGGGGATGATGACAGGGTATGAAAATTAAAAATATAATTAGTCCGTAAGTTAGGTAATGAAAAAATATTAGACACGTATTTTTTGATTTTGTCGTATAATAAAACAATACTTAGATAAAACGAATCAAAGTTTAGGAGTGGGGGCTAAAACGTCATTTCTTAGTATAAAATGTACTGAGAAGTGACGTCACGCGACATTTCAAATCAATATATCTTCAAAAGTATTCGTTTCTGTGAGAAAAGAAAAAATACGTGTCTAATGTTTTTAAATAATCTACCAGACGGACATTAAAATAAAAATTAGTCGTCTACCCTAGTATACAAAATAAAAAAAATAACCTTCGCAGCATAAATTGACGTAAAATCTTAAATATAGATACTTACTCAGAAAACTAATTAAACAGATACGCAATATTTATTTATTAAACAAATAAAAACGTACAAAAATATAAATGATACATTTTAAGATTATAAAAGTAACCTATTATAAAGGTTCGAGCTGCGCTAGCTTGGCGAGTAGCGAAGCGTTTTGGCGGGAATGTGTAGCGGGCAGTTGGCGCGGGGAGCGCACCCCTATCCAAGGGAGGTTTACACTCAGTTTGTCTCACGACTTTGGACCATCCGTACCATATCGCGCTCGCTCGGAAAAGTTCGTGATCGGTGTTCAAAATGAAACCAAGTCGAAGTTTCACTCATGTCCACGATTATCGTTGCCCGTAAGTACATTTAATAATTATTAATTTATTCTTTTTTATGTTTAAAAAGTGTGATTTTATTTATTGTTTATTTTGTTTAATTTATTTTTGTTTAAAAATAATTAAAATCTTTATAAAATATAAATTAATTATACTTTATGTTTTGATTTAATTTGTGTTTATTTTAAATTTTAGTATCCAGATTTAATAGTTCAAAGCATTGTGAAGAAAAACTTGTTTTCTTAAAATATTTTAAATGTAGGTCAGGTACATAGCGTATTATTTTTTATTTTATTTGTTTTAGTTGGAGTTGTGATAATTTTGGTGATGATTATAATAAAAATAAAATAAATCAGTGAATGAGTGCATAATTTATTGTTTAGTTTCTATAAAGTGTTCGGGTCTATTTTTAGTGTTATAAATATTTCTAGCTTGTGTCGTCTTTGAGAAAAGCTTATTTGTGGCGCTAAATAAATTAATATTAGCCTTTTAAAATTAATCTTGAATTTTGGACGCGTTTTATCATACACATTTTTATGCTAAATACTGGAGTAATAAGTCGTTATAAAAAAATACAGTGTATATTAATTTAAATAAAAGAAATTTAGGCAATTAATTAGCGTTCAATTTGCTCATATGCTTTTTAAGTATTTGAAACTATAGAAATATTTTTATCATTGCGGGTAGAAAACAATTAAAAATGTTTTTTTTTTAATAATTTAAATTAATTGATTTTTTTGAAAACAGAGAGACAGTAATATAACTATTTCTGTCCTAGTAGGTACTGACGAGTACAAAACACAATAAGAAAAATAAATTTAAAAAGAAAATAAAAAAGATTTCAATAATTTTTAATTTTGCGAACAATAGCAGTAGGTTTAGTTGTAGTTTTATTAAATTACATTATTACATTATTAATACTCCGTCAGTTACATAATGAAAAATATTACGCTTATTTTTATTTTAAAAGAACAAGACGCCTCTCAAATTAAATGATTAATATATACAAAATAATAAAAAAAAATAATTACCTACTGTTCATAATAATAATTTCTTCTTCTTTCTCAATTAGTTTTCTGAGTTGTACAATTTTTTTATATGATTATAATATTTATCGAATTACTAAAGACTGAGAAATCATTGAATAACGTATTTAGAGCCCCTAAATACGTTATTCAATGATTTGATACTAAATTCGCAACGTAACCTCATTTACAGTGTCGCGGAGAACCTAACGGGTTACCGGGGCTCCGGCTCGAAGCGCTGGAGAAGGAACGGGGTGGTTTTTAATCAGTAAGAGTCTGACACTCCCTTCTGCCTCACACAGGCGGGAGCAGTCATTCGATGATTTTCCGCCCTTAAAAAAAATCTCATTTACACTATCATAAATGACGAGTAATCTCTATCTCCTGAAGGGTGGGTGTCTTCAAGTCTCGAGTGAATAGGTCCTTCTAGGCAGGCATGCTCCATCGTAAGGTACATAGTCGTAGTCGCTTCGACCAGAAGGCGTGATAGTGGCCAAACGCCTATAGATACCAATAAAAAAAGTATTATGTAATTCTTTCATAAACATATAACCTCACGCCTTTTATCTCTGAAGGGGTAGGCAGAGGTGTATATTACGGCATTTAATGCCACTGTACAATGTAACACCCACTTTTCACTATTTATGTTACGAGTCCCATGTAATAGGGGGTGAGCTTATTGCCATATACCAGGCACAATTCCAGATTCCGTGCTACTACTTAGATTTTTTGAATATACCCAGTAAACTTTGCCCGACCCGGGAATCGAACCTGAGAATCCTTGCCCGGTATTGCCTCACACTTGCGACCACTCGATTAGAGTTTTTCTCAAAAACTCAGTGTTTTGTATTAAAATCGATTGTTAATTTTGACCATTACATAATCATATAGGGCATAGGTACCTAACTTTTATAACAAAAGCGCCTATAACAGGAGTCTAAAAAAACTAAGTAATAAACTGACAAAGAAATTTAGGAATGGCTTAAAGTAGACAAGACATTCGAAGCAACAGGTGTCGGCCTAAGTAACAACTACCTATATGAAAAGTTTCATCTTGTCCTTGGATTAGGATCAAGATCATAAAAATAACAATAAGCTTTCAACTGTACGTGTTCCCATGTGTTTTATTGGACCTCTTAATTTAGTTCAGGTAGGTGGCAATAGGCTTACCCCCTATTACATGGGACTCATAACATAAATAGTGAAAAGTTGGTGTTACATTGTACAGTGACACTAAGATCTGTAATGTCCACCTCTGCATATCCCTTGGGGGATAAACGGCGTGATGTTATGTGTATATGTGTAGGTAAACCTCTTTTATTGAGGGGTAAGGATGCCAGGAAACGAGCACATAACTTTTTGGGAGACTAAGGAGTATAGGATTCCTACCACCCTAAAACCAGTCTGGTGGCTACCATCATCGCCTCTAAAGGACATTGGGTCCTCTTCATCTACACCAGTTACAGTTTAGACTTCGGCCACACGACACTGTTCTTACGAAACTAGAAAACTAATATAGATGACCATTCTTGCGATAAAGTGTGAAATGTTCGAGAATAGTTGCAAAACTGTGGAATGACATGTCGTCGGCGGTATTTCCAAACCGATACGACCTTCAAACCTTCAAGAATGGAACGTATTCCTTTTTAAAAGGCCGACAACGCAGCTGTGACTCCTCTGATGTTGCGGGTGTCCATGGGCGGCGCCGATCGCTTACCATCGGGTGTTCCGTCAGCTCATTTGCCTTCTATTTCATAAAAAACACACGTAGTTACTTGACATTTCACTTATCCGTACACCTCACGGTGGGTCTTGCCAGGCGAATTGTCACGAGAGCCACAATACGGGATAATGTGCTTTCCGCAACCCCATCGTGTTACCGCGAGAGATGTGATGTGACACCGGATTGGTCTTTAGTCAACAAGATTTGGACAATCCCCCTCTTTGTGGAGGATTGTCAAAACTCTCAAAGAATTTTCCTCGGGGTCAATTTAAAGCTTAACTCACTTAGTTACCGACAGATATTTGAATCTCATATTTTTATACAGGAGTATAATTTAATATTCCTCATGAAAATGTCATGACGCGAAACTGCTGGCTTCTAAGTACAAAACCGTTCCGTAAGTCAAAATTTTCAGAGTTATCTTTCAATCTTTTTAATCAAAAGTGCTTTTAGTAAAAGTAAAAAGCCTTTGATTTTTCCGGCGTTGGTTCATCAGATTAAGATTTCTAGAGAAACCTGTAAGTACCTTAAGTAACCTTGGAGACCTTGAAGGGTAGTAGAAAAATGTTATTTTAGGCGATATTGAAGTACTTACTTATAAACTCCTAGATGATTGCAGACGATTAGTGTCTCATAATAGAGTAGACATACAAAAATGTATACATTTGAGTATGTAGGCACTTATTTTTCCAAAAAACATGTGAAATTGGACTACTAAATTTATTTTATATCGATATCATCAGTACTAACTTTTTTATATCAACATCGAAAAACATACTATTCTTGTATGTAGGCAACAATTACGATGCTTATTTCATCAGCCAGTGTTCAGATTCAATCAATCTCGAACGATTTCGATCACAGCATGATACTCCTTCGACTTGATTATTAACATTATTTCAGCAAAATCAACTACATAAATAGATACCTACATTTTATTATTTATCCTACAGGGCCCACCTACGGGACATTCGAGATCGTTCAGTTTTGCGTCTCTTCGAGGCAACGGACATTGGCGGCGGAGCCTTCCCTGGTGCTGTTGGCGTTGGCTCCCTCACCATGCCTCCGAACGCCGCCCCTCCCTGCTCCGGCCCTTCAAGCTGGGATCAAGTAAGTGCCTCTATAATTAAAGTGTTTATTTTTATGGGACTAACAACATAGGTGTTGATTCACTATGAAATAATAATTTTGCACATGAATAGTTTTTATTCGTGGTTGCGCACTTGAATTTAGTTTTTCCCCTTATCGTCCGGAACTTGACATATAAATAAATAAGAATGTTTTTTTTACAGTTTTCATGTAGTTATTATCAACCTAATTGCTGCTGAACGGCTAAACACTCTTTCTCATAACGTTTTTCCTTCCTAGGACCAGAGCTACTTCAGCGAGCCTGAGATTGACTCCGAGTATCACCACCAGCATGTGCATAAGACCAAGGTAAGTTGGAGTATCAGCAGTCTTCATTCTCAAGAGTGCAGGTAAGTGACTTTAGAACCTTCAAGAAACATCTACAGTGGCGGTTAGGGCGAGCCTTGAAAATACACCTTAATGAAGAATTAGGTACATATTATAATTTGACTTTCGGAAAAAGACACAGAAAATAGTACTTTAAAGATTTATTTTAAAAAATGGTAGGTAACAAATCGGTAAGGTGATCTTAAAATCTAAGGATAAAACCTCATGTAACGATTGAATGCACACTTAAAACTACAATAAATAATATACACACAACGTGTTTCAACCCAATGACTAATTTATACGTCCCAGACGAACGCCTGGCAGCCTCAATCAATATAATTGTTGATTTTTATATAAAACTAAAAATATTATTATAGATTTAACACTTAAAATAAATGGCGTTTAACGTACAGGTAAAGTCCTTCGAGAATCATTGCTTATTCTAGAACGGCATGAGTTTGCCTCTGCTACTAAACTATTGGTTTAGTGGACTCATATTAATAAAACTTGCTTAAAATACAGGTATGTACAGTTCGATTAAAATCTGTCAATTTACTGTTGCGTACGAAGGATTACTTACAGAAGATTAATAAGGGCTATACTTTGTACATAGTAGTAAAATCGAGATTAAACTAGAAGGCTCGGCAGATGGGTAAACCTTTGTAGTAATGGGCGCCGCTGTAGAGTTTCTTCGGGGTCGACCTCCAGGAAATGACAAGGGCCTTCTTGAAGGGTTCAGGGGCACAACCGCTGCAGACCTGCATCACTGCCTTTACCTCAGCTTCAGCAGGTTCTCTCTCATCGACCTGCAAATAAAATTTAATTATGTAATAATCTTCGTGATTCTCTTTGTCCGTTCGCTACTTTAATATTCAAGTATTTGCTTTGTTGATAAACTGGCGCCCCGGGTTTGCACGGGTGGATATTGATTTTTTAATAATAACATAATCATTTTTCTTTTTTGAGTGAGTCAGTTTTTGAGCTGAACCAACTATTCAGAAAATATTCTCGTACTAATAATGTGGCCTGGTTTGTCACGATGTTATTACTATTGCACATTTTTAGATGAAAAAGTATTTATTGTGGCATAATACATAGTTAGTCATTGCGAAGTTTTACGTTGATCTCTAGTAGTATTTTGTACATATATAATTTCCTCAGCGTAAACAATATAAGAAATGTTTTTATAGTCTTTTCAAACATCGGATTACATTATCGAAATAATGCACACGGTTCCCTTACTTTTTCATTTATTAAACATAGCTTACTTACGTTCATTAGAGATAATGTAGGTAAAAAAATCAAATCGGTCCAGTAGTTTCGGAGCATACTGAATTCAAATGATCAAACAATAAAATTGATTTTCCTCTTTTAAATATTAGTGTACACATTTACACTGATAAATGATACACAGTTAATGAAACATCAACTTTTTGATTAATATGGCTCGTATTAATCAACATCGAAAGGGTCCAATATCGTTTTATTCCATATAATATTTGCATTGTTTCGACATTTTAATATGGTATAAGAATCGTAACATATTCATTCAATATTGTGGTTTGTGCCATGGAGTCAGTTATATAGAAATTGTAACCACTAAGAACCACTACTACACTTTATAATTTAGCTCAGGTCGGCGCCTAGGTTTCTGTCTAGTCTAAGAGCTGCAGCCGCTAGAATTTTCTTATTTTAAAACTTGAAAGTTTATTTGTACATAAACCCATCGCATATTATTATGCCAGACATCGCTAAACATTAATATAATTATAATGATACCTTTTTCATTAATAGTGCAGACGCAGAATTTACAATTTGTTAATAAAAAATGTAGGTAACTATAGACATTAAAACAGCGTTGCTGCGGTAAACAATTACAATTACATCAGGCTGTTTACTGCTAATAATCAGCTCTGTGACTGTTGCTTTACTTATTACGATGCAAATGAACTACTTTTCTTTCTTATCTAGACATTATCCAGATGTATAGGTCTCACTGGCATACTCTTAAATACCTATAATGTATGCCTTGCGCTCACGTACAATGGACAGCATATGAACCAACTACAATATGTTATATTTGTCATTGCATTTTTGACTTTATATCTAAACAATAGCGTCAAAATCTAATAAATAAATTTAAGAGAAAAGGGTAGATTGACCTGCTACCTACTGAACAACTTTATAGACATAAAAACGTTTTGTAAAATAACGAAGGTCTGGCGACCGCAGGCTCTTCCTCTATTAGATATTACGTATGATTTAATATAGTGAGCCGTGGGTGTAAGTAATACGTCTTCTTCTGTGGAAGGAAAGATGAGGCAAAGTGAAGCTAAAAATATATTTAAGTCAGTGGCTAACATTTATTACATTCCAATGAAAGTCATTGTCAATAAGATTTAAGTTTATTGTTTACGGATCAAGAGATTGTTCATAGAGACGATAGTATGTATTATTATGGAATTGAAAGTGTGCAAGAAAAAGTGATCAAAGAAAGGTCATTGTTCATTGGTCAGCTTGACCTGAATGGAGTTATGAACCACTTTTTTCAAGACAGAAGAAACTGATTGGAATTGTTTTAGCTTTTTTATTTCATACTTGGCGTCTGACAGTAGCGTTATCTTTCTTACTTACCTCTATTAAGTAAAGTAATTCAAAATCAAATATGAATTTATGTGTTTGAAGGGTTAAATATAGGGTAGATGACTAATTTTTATTTTAATGTCCGTCTAGTAGATTATTTAAAAACATTAGACACGTATTTTTATTTTCTTACGGAAACGGATAGTTTCGGAGATATATAGATTTGAAATATCGTATGACGTCACTTTTGAGTACGGTTTATACTCTAAAATGACTTAGCTACCTTCCCACTCCTTAACTTTGATCGTTTTAATTATGTTTTGTTTTCTTATACGACAAAATAAAAAATACGTGTCTAATATTTTTTCATTACCTAACTGACGGAATAATTCGATTTTTAATTTTCATACCCTGTTATCATCCCTAATGCCAATAAAGGTTTATGTAGGTAATCCTTCGATAAAAACTACCAGTATTTAACGTATGTTAAATCAAAAACCACACAATACTTACAGTTTCTTTTTGCAAATTCTGCACGGGTAGGTTTCCGACGAACCCGGCGAGTCCATTCAGCAGGGACTGTTGGAACAGGGCTTCATCCTCCTTGTTGTCATCAATGAGGTCCGTGCTCAACAAAGCCTCGTCAACAATTGACCCATCGGACAATGCTACTAAACCTCTTTTGTCTTTCTTTCCTGGAACCAAAATTTTCTTTGATATATTTTACTGTTTGTCAGTGGGCGTCTATTTGTGTAACCGGATAACAATAATAATAGAATTAAATACAATAATTTTATTGACATACTTAGGTTATAAAAATACCCTATGTATGTACGTACATTGTATTAGGCTTTGTATCTCTGATATTTTGTAATATTTCATACTTTCAGATTTCTGATTGAAAATTATTACAAAATAGGACCTCGACTAGTTTAAGGCTACATTGGGGACTTATAGTCACAAGCAGAAGTGGGAAGTCCCTTAGCGCCGGACGGCACCTAACGCCGGGCATTTACTATATTATCTCGATAAATAATAATGCGAGCGATTCATTTTGTAGTGGGAAGTCTCCCAGTGGCAGACAACTAAGATTTATAGTAAAAATTGAATCGCTCCTGTTATCAGTTGTCGAGATAATCCAACTGTCCTGCGTTAGGTGCCGTACGGCGTTACGGGACTTCCCCCTATTGCCCAACCATTGTCTTACCCACGCTACAATAAAAATGTCCGGAGGCACAGACTGCCATTATTGAGCTATTACGGTCTATTTTTGCTTAATATTTTGATAACATTCGGTAACATTAGAATTGTGTTTGTTGAAATGTATATCTAGCGAAGGCTTTATTTGTAAACATTTGGCGATGCCTCGTTAGTTTTTGGGCAGTATTCAGAGGAAAATAATAGGTAACGTGATAACGATAATAATACAGGTAACGTCACGCCTACGCCCCGAAGGGACTAAGTAGACATAGTTACATACCTAGCTGTACAATATTATATGCAGTGGAAAGTTTCGTTGAATGAATGATCGCAAGCATGACTGTTAAGCAGAATCAGTCAACTAGTATTAAGATTCAATTTTTTGGAACACGTAGTATGAAGTTATTAATGTACCTGATAACCTTATTTTTAATGGGGCTAATCATCCAATTACCTTCCCCGCCCGAATGAGGCGAGAGTGAGTGTCAGACTCTTACTGAATAAAAAACCATGCCGTTCTTACTCCTGCACACCATACCCTCTTTTGCATGGTATTCATAACATAAATAAATCTATTGAAAGGGCTAACCCATTCAAAATCTAATTCTCAAAAACTAATTTTCAATATCTAAATTTTAGCACCCAGGTACTATTTAGTATTCTAGCGCTTTCAGATTAAAAATAAACGCATCACTAATTCATGGAACTATTGCCTAACTGAATAATAGATGGGAGTGGATGAGTTAGTGTTTGTTTGTGTATTATTAACACAATGTTCGGCCTTTTAATCCCCGAAGGTGTGGACAGAAGTAGAAATAACTAAGACCTACTTTTCAATATAGATAATTGTGTTAAAACCCATTTTCAACCGACTTTAAAAACAAAATGTTCACAGTTTGACGGTATGCATGTATATATGTATGCATGCTTGTTTTTAGACAAGTGTATGTTATACTTAGGAGAAGGTTTTAGTATATTAATTAAACGACTTCAAAAAAGATGGTGTTTGTTTTTATAATAACTATCGTGAGATATACTAGATTAACTAAAAATCGCGGTTTACTCACGTGAATATACTGAGAAAAACTCTTCTAGTTTCGAACTACAGAGGAGTTCCTTGAGTAGGCTGCGCGACATCGCCACGACCGCGCACGCTTCTCATGAGGAAGAACCCCTCTGTGGTTCGAAACTAGAAGAGCTTTTTTCAGTATATTCACGTGAGTAACCCGCGACTTTTCGTTAAGATGGGGTTTATTTAAACGTAGTATATAAAAGAATTTGTTTTTAAAACAATGCCCCACACTAGGATTTTCTTCAGCTTTGTGGGTGCGTTTATAAACATACTAGCTGTTACCCGCGACTTCGTTCGCGTGAAATTATTCATATTTCTTGTTAAATTATACTTTTTTGACGCGACTTTTTTGATTGGCGAGGCGTATTTGAGAGCTAGTATGAAACGGAACGTTTATTGTCTACTCAAGATGGCGATTACGGTTTTGTCTGTCAGTGTAATTAAAATGAATTAATAAAACGAAATAATCTCCGTAATCCGAATTTTGCTGATATATGTTGTCGACTCGAAATGGATATTTTTTTATGTTTTGTTATTCAGGTAATGTTTCGATCGAGTCTACCGTATCCCTTGACGAAATTATTAATTTATAAACATACAAGTTCACATACACATGACACCCAGACCCGGAACAACAGAGTTCACACAATAGGTTTACCTGTCACCATAGAATGGACACAATTACAGACTCAATGCATAACGTCATCATCATCATCATCAACAGCCTATAAATGCCCACTGCTGAGCAAAGCCTCTTCTCACACGGAGAAGGTTAGAGCATTAATCACCACGCTTGCTCAATGCGGGTTGGCGATTTCAAACTTATAATTAGAAATTATAAGTCCAGGTTTCCTCACGATGTTTTTCCTTCACCGTTTGTCAGTGGTGTCTTAATAATCTTAGAAAGTACATATAACTCGGAAAAAGTCACATTGGTACTTGCCGTTGGTAGGTTTCGAACCCGCACCCTCATGCATGAGAAGTGGGCGTCTTAAACCTCCGGGCCACCACGACATAATAACGTACTTACTGCAAATTCGCGAAAAACTGAATAAGCCCAACGGCTGTTTGCCCAAAGCCAGAGACCTCGACCTGATTTAATCAACCCATATAAACAATTTCATTAACCCTAGAAAGATAACCATATTTTGACTGTTACAAAAGATAACCATGCGCTTCGGAGGCGCACAAAATATTAATATATATTTTTTAATGAAATACCTATTTATTGTATTTGCTTACTTATTTTTTTTTAAGTATGTTTCATGAACTAATAATAAAAAACGTTTTTAGTGGAATATTTTTTATATTTTAAAAATAAAACTTCAATCAAAAAAATCTCTAGAAAAAATTAACAAAATTAGCAGTCTTCTGTTTACAGGAACATAGTATCAAAAAAATGATTTTTATTTCTTCTTATAAACGAATTAATTCATTTCTTACTAACTAATCAACTAAAAAAATCAATCAGAACTACAACCGTAGGCTCAAATTTGGTTTGATAGGCATTCAAAACAAACATAATTTTTGTGTTCGCCGCAAACTGTTTTCTTGCATTTTTATCTTAGACATTCTTTTTTTTTATTAGTGCAAAAGGTACAATACCGCCTTTTCTTTCTGGAGGTTCTTCTTCGATATCTGTATCGTTATGAGCAACCGGTTTCGGAAGAATACTAACGATATTATCTCTCACATGCTTTGGCAAAGTAGGAGCTTCCAGTCTTTCCTACATCCACGATTCAGATAACTGGGCGCTTAAGTTTTTCATATAACCTCTTCTATTTAGAGGCTTTTCATTTTTAGCAAGAATGTTGTGACAATATATAACATAAAAATTGACGAATTCTATGTTCAGAATGCCATAAAATATACACATTGGCCATCTATTGGTTTTCCTCGAACACGACATTGAAGAACACAATTAGTCGAAATTCCAGTGAGCTCTGAAGATACAGATGGACTTATATCGTCTTCATTTTGTGTATCATTCAATTGTTGTGGCACCTCATCATCTATAAACTCGTCTTCGAAATCACTCTGTATGTCACCTTCACTCAAATTATTCTTCTGACTCACTGTCACTTCCTTGCTCTAGTTCATGCTCCTTCTCTTCCTCTTTAGCGATAAACCTATTATATTGCATCATCAGAAAGTGTCCTCCGGCTCGTCATAATGAAAGTGAAAAGATTTTGTACTAAAAACAAAGAAATAAACAGTTTAAATTAACATTTTATGTAAGTCTAAACAAGTTCATACTTTTACTAAAAGTCACACAAAAGATAACCATGCGCCTTTGGAGCGCAACACTTAGTCATAACTGCAAAACTATGGTACTTACCGCGTAAAAACGGCCGTCCCGCGACTCAGTGCACCGACTACTGAGCTAACTTAAAAGGACAGGTAGATACGCGCGCACATTACACAGAGACAGCGATTTTAAACCGACGCGGGCGCCTCTGAAGCGTAGGTTATCTTTCTAGGGTTAAATAAGGAACAGTCAAAATGAATATCTATATATATAAAAGAAAGTCGTGTTAGTTACACTATTTATAACTCAAGAACGCCTCAATCAATTTAGATGAAAATTGGCAGAGAGGTACCTTAGAACCAGAAGACGGACATACGATACTTTTTAAACAATACTTTTTTTACTTTTTACCGAAAATCACGAACGGAAACGGGTGGAAAATGGGATTGCGCGTACGAAGTCGCGGGCAGAAGCTAGTCGTAGTATATAATAGTAGTAGTATAGTAGTAGTATATAATAATATTGAAAGAGAAAATATTGGAATACTCGCTGCACTGAATTCATATTGTTCTGTTATAAGAAACCTTGAAATTTATTTCAATAGTATGATACCTGATAAAGTAATGTGATGTACGATATTTTAAAATGAAATCGCGAATATTATTCTTTGTATTGCGGTCTTGTATTGAAATATAAGGGTAATATGAATGAGAAGGTTTCCGGACCAATCTTTCTATGTTAACATATAATTGAAGCTAAGCGTCTGTTTAAGTCACTCTTAGCTTTTTTGACATATATTTATCTAATTTTTGACAGACATCTCTCGGAGCACGATGTCTTTAGATTTGTAGGTACATAGTTCACAATAACACAACAAAAACAAGGACAGTTAAGATTTAAAGGTTAAGACTGCATCGTTGGTCGAGTGGTCGCAAGTGCGACTCGGAAGGGGTCTGAGGTTCGATTCCCGGGTCGAGCAAAACATTATTGGGTTTTTTAAAAAATCTCAGTAGTAGCAAAGAGTCTGAAATTGTGCCCGGTATATGGCAATAGGCTCACTCGTTATTAGGTGATTTGATGTGATGATTCTAAGATATCTAAGAAACGTGTGGGGCAACGTTTTTAAAAAAATTAAAAAAAAGATTATCTAGACACCATTGACAAAAAATCGCGAGGAACCCTGGGCTTATTAATTTCTAATTATAAGTCTGTAATCGCCAACCCGCATTGAGCAAGCGAGGTGATTAATAATACTCAAACCTTCTCCATGTGAGAAGAGGTTTTGCTCAGTAGTTGGCATTTATAAGCTGTTGATGTATGTATGTATGTAAACTTTACAATATTACGTCATAACATAATACTTCCTTCCTTACTTGCTCCATAAATGCTCTGTTTAATTCAAAAAAATATTATTCAATTCGAATCAGTATTGAAGAGCGTTTAAACAAACAAACAAACTGCTCAGCTTCATATATTACTGTATAGATTTATGAAAATATTAAATACAGTTAATTTTAAAGCCGCTTACTATTTCTCGTGGCTACAACCTTTTAACAATTTAATACTAAGCTATTAAAGTATAGTTTTAATAGTTAAAACTATGTATGTTTGGCTTAGTATTAAAATTATGTTAGGTAAATAGGTACAACCAAACCATTGTACCTCTATAACTATATAGCAAGAGACCCAAGGTTAGATTCCTGGTATGGGCAAAGCAATACTGAAGATATTTCGGTTTTTCAAAAATTTTGCTTGATATGGTCATAGGATTCTCGACATATTTATTGGTAATTGGGTCTTACATTATATATCCCTGTCTAACTCCTCGGGGATTTTAAGGCAATATGTTACCTTAACTTTAAAAAACTTCTAACTACTAGTTAAAACTTAACACAAAGTTCTGATGTTCTATTATAACGAGATACGTTATATCAGCGATGTGGCAAGCGTGACTCATCCTTGGAGCTAGATATCGAGTTGCTTTGTAGCAGCGACAAATATTTCACGTCAAACCGACGTGTTCATTACGTGTTACGTATTTGTCTTCAGCAAACAAACACCCACGCGATTTTCATAGCTTTGTGTTGGTATTAAAAGGTTAAGATACATACATACCTACTTAGAAAAATATGGGATTTTAGAAAATGAGTCTTTATTAGTTCACATCGGCATCATCATAGTTAGTTACAAGATGTTTCTGGCATCAGACAGAGCCAGGCCTATCATCACATAGGTCTCTCTCAATGATTTCCGGCGATTGGAATCGACCGGCATTTAGGAGTTCCGTGTGACCTTATCAGATCTTCTTAATCGTCCTCATTATTGTTTTTGATTTCAAAGTATTTCAGAGTAAATTGGCGTCTCACACAATCAGTACAGATTTACTGAGAACGAAAGTTATCTTTTCATCTTGTTCTACATATTACAAGATGTTGAATGGAAATTGAAATATTCCATTTTACTTTTTATTACGAACGGACTCTTTGCTAAACGACTTCTACGCTACCATCTGCAGTTTCATTATATCATTAATGTTGCCATTTACTTCAATCGTTTGAAGATTTATGTGTGCTAGGTTTTTGACTAATATCTGTATGATATTTATTTCACATTTTTTAAATATTAAGTACATGAAGTTCATATTCATTATTTCTAACTACTTCCTCTAAAACGTTACCTACAATGGATAGCATTTGAAATAACAAATGATCAAAATTTGACTCACCTGAAGCACGTTCTTCCTTCAATTCCTTCTCAGGGTTGTCTCTCTTGTCTCGCTTAGAATTCCTCTTGAACAAATTGTGGGAGACTGTGTCATCAATGTATTTCACATTGGCAGGGTTCAACAGAGAACCAGATAATACCACAGTCGTACCCTTAGATGGGCCAATGGGTGACCTAGGGAAGCCTTGACTCTGTCCAAGCTGACCAAGAGATGACAGAGGAATTGGAGCTCCAGCACCCAATTGATTAGGTACAGGCTGAACGCTGTTCAATAGCTGTTCCGAGACGAGCTTGTTTGACAGTTGTCCGTTGATATACTCTTGCTGAAGTTGAAGGCCGTTAGGAAGCTGCACAGGGACCATTTGTTGAGCTCCTGCCAAGTTCAAGGAAGGTGCTCTTTGCAGCTGGCCACCGATCAAGAAGTTTCCATTTCCGAGGGGAGTAGCTTGTGGTGGTGGGGGTTCAGTCGCTGGCTCAGTTGAAGACTCAATAGGAGTTCCGTCGTGCTTGAAGTGATGTACGTGGTGATGTTTGTGGTCCTTGTGAGCCTTGCCAGCCGTTAAAGCAACATGGTACAACTGGAGCATTGTAATTTCACCCATGAAACCGGATTGTCCTGCAATTGGATTGTTACGTTATGACATTGCATGTTACGTCATTTTAAACTTGCATCATATTTCGACACTTACTTGCAACTGGTTCGATATTATCTTTCTTGTAGAGCAGTGTCTGGTCCTGGCCAGAGATTGCCAAACCGCCTCCCTTTATGATGTGACCGACGAGCTGGAATAGATTGGATCAATACACATTATACATATTTGTGAACTGCGGTATATTCTGCTTTGGTGATATTATGGTAATGAGGCTTACTCTGTTGTTGAATCCTCTGCCGACGCGTTCAGCGTTCACCCAAATTTGCCACTCGCCAGTTTTTCCGTTCCATGACTGACAGGAGTGATACCATCTGTGGATTGTTGCGTATTTTGATTAATTGAGGCTTTGTTAAACAATATGTGTTATTGTTATTCAATAAGTTAGCGCCTAGCTGCCTACACTAATTAAGTAGGTCAACGATATGCTTAAATGTACCGAGTTGCATCTCATTAATCAATTACGATTATTATTGAACTAATCAATTACAAATTTGCAGTAACTACGTGACCATTCACCTATGTTAATACGTAGTATCATTGTCAGATTATAGAATAAAAATACAGTTTCTGATATTAACTACCTTAAAATTAATGAAATCTGTGGTATGTCAAAGTTCGTTCGCATAAAAGTTAACATCGATGTTTACACAACAGAACGTTCAATTAATATGAATGGACAGCTATCATTGCAAGTTGTGTTCTAAATTGAACAAAGTTTAGTTGTTCATTATGTATTTAATTGCTTGTAAAATTAATTCTTCTGTAACCATCCGCTTAAGGCGCTGTCACAAAGTTTGAAACAATTATAAATATGAGTTTATTGTGATTGGATGAATTAAACACCTTATAATGTTTATTTAGAGAAATACAAAGAACCCCTTTATGGCATAGGCGGTACAACATATACAAAGGTCTAGTTATACGGTACCTACACAAGGTACACAAAAAAGTAATTTCCAAAACATCAATATTGGCCTTCAATGTACAATGTACATAGAAAAACAAATTTCTAGTTCCCTGAATCGAAAAAAGGAATTGTAGACTATTGCACAGCGTTTATTAAAAACTTTTAGTGAATATCACGGTAACCCTGACGTGCCACAGTACTGCGGAAAATTAACTTTGAAACTGTACGAATCAAAGGGTAGCTTTGGTCCAACTTTGCGCTGGACAAAATAGGTATAACAATTTTGGAAACATTATATTAAAATTGTAGACCATCCTATACGCTATAGATGCATTAAAGTGATTTGATTCGATATAGTTTCCGCAGTATGCTCGGTCTCCAACTTGCCAACTATGCCTGGCTAGGGTTAGTCTGCTACGTTTAATCAGGGTTACACTTCAGCTAAGTTATGCATCAAAGCCTTTGTCTGCTCTTGCGAATTATTGGGTTTTATTATTTTGAAATTCTCATACGAAGTTCAGATTCTCACTATATTTTAAGTCTGTGTATTTTAAATCGTAGATTTTGCAACGCGAAGAATATTACAATAATAGACTGTCTCGTTACCCGAACGGACGCAAGTGCTACTGCCAAGCAAAATATCCGGTACTTTGAACGACCTGCGTGGTTCAAAGTACCGGATATTTATTATATTATTTATAGCACCTACTAGCATGAAGCCTAGAATAAAGGGGATGTTCCATTGTATAATATGTATTGTGCACTTTTCCTAGCCTTTCAGAGATTAAAAGTCTTGACGTCATACGTCTAAAGACTTCAACCAGCGAAAAATGTATTTTGTGTCCCCTATTTCGCTACTGTTCCACGAAAAAATAGGTGCATCTAATGAAATTAAAGTGTGCACAGGCACTATCCAGGCGTAAAAGGCCACACAAAGTAAAATTCCAAAAGTGAATTAAACCCTCTTTCTAATATTCAGGAAAACCTGTTCTGCTTTAAAAAAAAATCAAATTATGAACCTTTGACAACCGCAAGGCACCTATTATCATTGTTAGATTTCTGGGAAAAATATCAAATAGAATTACTTATAGAAAAAAATATAAAAGTAAGAAAACGCACTTTGACAAAAAAAACGATTAATAAATTATTCAAACAGTGAAACATAAAAATGCAATTTGCTAATGTTTAGCTATAAAATGTCGTGTTTTAGATAAAATATAATGGGGATGATGACAGGGTACGAAAATTAAAAATATATTTAGTCCGTAAGTTAGGTAATGAAAAAATATTAGACACGTATTTTTTTATTTTGTCGTATAATAAAACAATACTTAGATAAAACGAATCAAAGTTTAGGAGTGGGGGCTAAAACGTCATTCCTTAGTATAAAATGTACTGAGAAGTGACGTCACGCGACATTTCAAATCAATATATCTTCGAAACTATTCGTTTCTGTGAGAAAATAAAAAATACGTGTCTAATGTTTTTAAATAATCTATCAGACGGACATTAAAATAAAAATTAGTCGTCTACCCCATTAAGGTAAAGTCATTATGGGATGTCGAAAAATATACAAAGATGAATAAGAACCGTGTTGACTGATTAAAAATTGTCTTACGTCATTATTGCCATATATTATACCTATGTTGCCACTTTCTTATGTACTTCATTGACCCACCAAATGAATGAATCAATTTAATCTAACCACTTGCATAATAGTATCATGAATTTTAAATTTATATTAGTAATCCCGTCTTATTGATTAGATGTTACAGAACTTTTTCGCAATATAATATTTTCCTTCATTAATAATAAGTAAAAGTGGGATAAGAGTTTTTTTCGTAATTTGGTTAAAATGATAATCATGTAGAAAATCTTGAACGAGTCTTCGATTACGTAAGACATTGTAAATTAATTAAATAGATTGACCTATCAGTCGCTGTGTAAGTTGGTCACGAGCCCCTCTGTGACTTGAAACTAGTTGAAGTAGTCTTGCATCTTCCTGATAGTTACATGAGTAAGTCGTATATTAAATTAATTTTAAGTTAAGGCTCATTTTGAACGAAGCCGCGGAGAACTTAACGGGTTACCGGGGCTCCGGCTCGAAGTACAGGAGTAGTAGTAGTAGGAACGGGGTGGTGTTTAGTCAGCAAGTGTCTGACACTCCCTCCCGCCTCACCCAGGCGGGAGAAGTCATTCGATGTTTTCGCCTCTTAAAAAAAGGTTAATTTTAATGGCTATGTGGGTATTTGGCAAAATGTTGTTATGTATTCATTTATTCGCATATTATGAACTTGAGAATTTTCACAATGACATACAGGCCCATGACAAGCCCAATGATATAATGATATTTACGCAATCACCAACAGTGACAAACAGGTTGGAGATCACAGATTAGGAGGTTTACATTTATTCCTACCTTATAGTTAAAACATTAAAACCCAACCAGTCTGTTCCGTGGATATTGCAGTCAAAGTAATGGAGCTGAATTTACAACAATAGCTTGTCTATAAGCCCTACACAAAGTACATAATATCTTCGAAGTGCATACTGGAACATGCTTGAATAAACACCGACTACCGCTTCGAAGCGAAAGTTAAATTATAGAAGCACTAGCTTTTACCCGCGGCTTCGCTCGCGGCACAAAAGAATAAAAAGTAGCCTATGTGACATATACCAATACACACAGCGCCATCTATACCAATACTTTTGTTTTTCTTCGGGAATATCAATTTTTCCGGGTTAAAAAGTACCCTATTATTTAATCCAGACTTCTAACTTTACGTCTGCAAAAATTCAAAGCAATCGATTGAGTAGTTACGGCGTGAAGGTGGAACAAACAAACAAACAAACTCACTTTCAGATTTATAATATTAGTAAGGATTCGTCTGGTTATTTATTAACATGTAATGGTTAACGCTTAATAAATTTTAACCAATACCTACCAAATTAATATTAGAATTTTGCAATGTGCATCGCTAATATGAAAGCTGGAATAGGCTCACATCAAGCTATGCAAAACCACTATAAAATGACTGTCTAATTTGCGGGAATTTCGCAGAAACCGGGACCATGAGAAGCTGGTTTTGTATAGCTCAATTAGTAGCGTGTACCTTGTTCAAAGTATATGACTAGGATTTACCAACGATTGAACTAGTAATCATTTATGGATCATTTTGTAAATAGTAAGCAACATGGTGTAGTTCGATGAATTAATATTGTATTTAGTAGGCAGAATCTGTAATTTACCACGTTGATAAATTTGATGAAATGCCTGCGTAATACCGACACAAAATTTAAAAAAAATAAGTGATAGAAGTCGCTGGTACTAGATGATAATTATGACTAATAAGTTAAATTAATAAGCAAAGTGAACTCTAGTGAAAAAAGTGTGTTTTAAATTTTGTGAATCGAACTATGTAGAAACAAAAATATGACGAATGAAATATGCGATTCACGTTGCAACCAACTCAATCATTTCAGTGAGAGTTGACGCTTGTCATAAAAAAAGTGTTCAGTTTATATAAAAATTTGCATGTCATCATGAAAACAGTGATTCAGCAATTAATATCGTATTATGCTAAAATCTCTACAAACGGAGTTCGATGACTGAGAAAGTATTCATACGCATATTGCGTGCGCATTGTCGTTACACAGGAAAAAAGAAATTGTCGTGCGTCGTCGCCATTGTTAAAACGTTATGTAACACGTGGATGTTTCAATAGATTACTTAGAAATCCGGTAAATCATGAGCTTGAAGCATTTATTGTTTGTAAGCGCCATTGTTTTTGTACCTACTTCTGTCACTGCTGTGGTTGATGTGATCGGGGCGATGTCGAGTGTGTTTCTACGTCTGGTTGTTTGTTTTTGAGATGACAATGACTACTACGTTGGTTATGTGATTGTAAGTTATCGTTGATGAGCTCTATTACGTAGTCAAGTAAAGAAATATTGAGTATATTTCTTTACTTATATTTTGAAATATTTTTCCAAAATCTATGACGTAACTGTGTAGTGTATACGATTAAAATTTACGAGACGTACGAATCTTTCAAATAGTATAACAAAACATACTCAAGTGTACGAAATCCTTTTCCACCCTTCGAAAGGTGTATTTTACTAACCTCTATTTGTGTTGTCCTTAAAAAACACATTACTCTTTAGCCTCAAATATTATCATGAGGATCAATCATAACTCCCGCTCAGTCCTTTTTCGAAAGGGGAACCCTCTCTTTATCTATCTATAGCTGTTTTAGAATCTAAAGAAACTAAATTGTCTAGACGGGTCGTATGAACTAAATAACTACTTCTTGTACTTATTAAAAAATCTAGTATTAAAAGAGTTTAATTTTTGGAATCAACTAGCTAAGAAATTGATTGAGCTACGCGGTCGCCATAAGTAAT